TGCCTCAGCCATCTAGGACTTAGAGAACTCTGGAGTTTCTTCCTCCTCTCTCTTATTTATAGATTTTGTTTTACATGATATTCGTCTTCCTGAAAAGCTGAGTGAAATTTGTTTTGTGTAAATCAAATACTATTTCAAATGCATCAAGAGACTTTGTGATAAAGGATCCTTGAAATTCTTTTTGTTTTCTAATCTGAAACATTACCTGCTAATTTATCTTCTGTAAATTAACTTCCATATACCTTGTGTTGTATAATGTAGCACACTTGTATTGTGTAGCCTTCAAGGTTCTATGAGGCAGTCTTTGCCTCAGACTATATAAAATGAAGGGCTGACTCCAGGTTTTGAATTGGTCTAAATGAATGATCAATTTCAGTCTTTTATACTTACTGAATTTATCTGGATTAATGTGAAAAAGAGTAGTAAGACAACATGGATGGATAAAGTTGACAGTTAATTTTTTCTATTTATTTGTTTAAACTTTTGCCACCTATCATATCCTTAAAGTTACTATTAAGAGATCGAGATGACTCCAAATCTCTTGGGGCAATTCTAGGTTTACTGAATCAGAATATCTGGGATGGATCCCAAAATATGCATTGCTAACACATTACTCAGGTGATACTAATGCATCCTAAGTTTTGAAAAATATTGCTCAAATGAATTTACTTTTACCAAGGCAATGAATGCTTTTTACTCTAATCTGAAATCATTAATTCTTGTGTTTTCCTATACCAATGTGAATCTATTTTTCTAAGCCTGGCTGAACGTTTTTTCTTGACTAGAGAAATGCAAAACAAAGGACAACTATATATAAAATGCTCAGATTGTTTTCTGACAGACTGTGTTGTTTATAGATGTCTCTCCCCATTAACTCTTTCAACAGGCATATGTGAACACAGTCTTAAAGCAGCTAGGTTAGTTATTTAACTTGTTAGTTGTTCCAATGGATAATAATACAACAGCTGAAAAGCTAGAGGTGCGGAGAGAAGCAGGAATCAATTTATGATATATCAGGTATTGTGCTCTCCTCATCTCATTCTTAAACCATCTAGAAAGAGGTATAACCACCATTTCAAAGAAGAGGAAAATAAAGATCATGATAGTTAAATAACTTGCCAAGGCTGATACAGTAGAGGTGATAATTCAAATCCATATTTATCAGACTCTAAGAATATGCTCCTACCACACCCCAAAGCACATTTTCAAAAATGAGAAAAGACCATAATCAATATAATTAGGCTCATATATTTTAATGGGAGGGAAGTAGAGACAGCAGGAAAAGAATATGCCTTTCTATTTCCAAATAGAAAAATTCTAAAAATTATTTCACACCATAGAGATTTCCTTCAAAATCCCAAATCAGAAAATTAATGGAAAGAAATATCCATTACTTTCTTGAAGTTTTATACATGGTTTCCTAAAAAGAGTGGACATTTGAAAGAAAAATGCTTCAAAAGATAAATATTCCCAAATATTCATATTGTATTTTCATTCCCAATCATCTTAGCTCTCATAAAATTGAACCAAAATATGATAAGTAAATATCCAAAATATAACCTTCAACTGGCTAAAAAAGGAAGGGAGATTTTCAATTAAAGAAAAACTATATGGGTGAATAGTCAATAAAGTCACCAAGTGCAAACAACAAGGTTAAGAAAAACACCAATGATCAGTCATCACAAAACGTCAACTGGCAATGGCATGGCTTGGGTTGCAGACGATTTCCTGTGAATGATTTTATATGACAATATTCTTTGTAGGAGTATTATGACTTACACAAATGGTATGGGATCTG